ATACAGTGCGAGAAAATGAAGTAACAATTATAATGAATTAAATAACACTAGACTACAAATATTTTAAAAGTTGCATTACTAGTTATAAAAATAAACATGTAACCTAAGTTGTGTGCTCACAATATTGCTATATCAGAAAATACGATTATAAGCCAATTCAATTAATTTATTATTGTGCAGGTAAAAATTTAATATTTATAAAATGAACAAAAACATATTCGAAATAGTAATGTTAAAAGTTTGATAAAAAATATATCAATATACCACTCTTTACATAGTATTGTGAGGAAATGTGATTTATTATGTTTTGTTATGAACCCTATTCTTAATTTTTTTTAATAAGTTTACTGACCAAAAGAAAATATGGTACAAAAGGTAGACTTAATGCTAGTATATCATATTCCACCCTTGAAACCGAAACAGCAAATACAACTGCTTCACGGTAGAAACACGAATGGGACAAAGGTGCCTAGGCAAACGACTTTTGTACAAAGTCTCCCTCTGGTAATATATACGTAAATAACATAAAATTATGATTATAATATATAACATAACATAACAAGTACAATAAAAGTATACATATATGTATAAAGGAATATATTGTTGTAATAAGTTCATAACATGAGCATGGACTTTTTTTAACATGAGTTATCAACTGTTTTTAGAATTTTCACCTTACGTACGTATCTAAAAATGAATGTGTCAAGGTATGAAGTTACTGACATATTAATGGCGCTTTACGAAAGTTTATTTATAGCGCCAAAATACATTCAGTTATTTCCAGGTATTAGATCATACACAATAAGATGGAGTATCGAGTACTAAAAACGGATCATATATCAGAAAATACAGTTAATACAATTAAGAAAAAAAAAAATAAAACAAAAAATTTTAATTGGTAACTATTTATATTAGCAATATGTACATATCGTACACAAATTAATATACATTTATAAAACATATACAAATACAAAATGGTGGCCGCTTTTAATATTTCTGATAACAACAACATATTTTGAGTCTATTCTCAGTTATCATACAGAGCAATCGGCGAAGATAAGTATCATTATGAATGATTGTGCTCCGTTTACCTCGTTTTTTTTTTTTAAATATAGACGTTAAAAAAATTGTTTTTCAATTTAACCTTACATTATATATTTCTTTCACTTATTGTACAATATTAAAATACCTCAATATTCTCAATTCATACATGCATAAACCATCTTGTCACCCGCTAACTGTCCACTGCTGAGTATAGGGCTCTCCCTATTGGGAACTTTTCCAGTAGTTGCCACGCTTAGCAGGCAGATTGGCAACCTTAGTTTTTGGTGATGTTTTAAGAGGGACGCTGCTGCATATCTCTTGTACATTTATTCCTTAGTGGCCTTTTACGACACCCACGAGAAAGGAAGAGTTAGCTCATTCTGATCCGGGACCACACGGCAATATAGAAATATAAAAGTCTATTTTTGGCAGTGCTTTATTATTCAGATACTCCATCTAAAGCCATATGATCTAAGTTCCTGATATTTTATTTCACGGCAACCTCATTATGAGCGTCTAGCGTCTCTGCATTCGTATACTAGAGTTGTATATAGATCTTAAGGAGAGGATTTAGTATTAAAACCAGAAGATTAGTTTGCACCGTCTAGAAATCACGGCAAAAAGTACACTATATTTTAAAAGTACAACAGTAAGCGCAATAAATTAAAACTCGCTGAATTTGTGATTATTTGAATGTGTGATGATTTGTGAATATGAAAATTAAAATTTTAAAAGTCTACGCGTTTACCGCCATAAAGACGCCGTTTGTCGTAGCTCCTCACTTTTAGGGCACTTCCCTCGATAATAAGTTGAGTTTGGGGATTCTTGACGTCAATATATCTAGCGATGTCCAATTTTGCGGTCATCTGGAAGAAAAAGCTAAGATAGCTTCTAAAAAGTTGGTGGTGCTCAATAGGGTGAGACGTTATTTCACTCCGGAACACCGCCTGAAACTGTATAAAGCTCATGTCAGGCCACATATGGAATACTGCTCTCGCCTATGGGTAGGCGCGCCACAATACCAACTCCTTCCATTAGATCGCATTCAAAGTCGGGCAGCTCGAATTGTTGACGATTGGCGCCTTACTGTCTGACTCGACTCACTGAAACTGCGTAGAGATGTTGCATCTCTGTGCATCTTCTATCGAATTTATCATGGGGAATGCTCTGAAGAATTGTTCGGATTGATACTTGCTGCTGATTTTTACCATTGTACAACCCGCCATAAACTAAAATTTCATTCCAACATTCTGGACGAGTGGCGGTCCTCCACCGTGCGTTTTTCAAGGCACTTTCTTCCACGCACAACCACTCTTTGGAATCAATTTCCAGCAGCAGTATTTCTAAACCGATACGACAACGTAACCTTCAAGAAAAAAGCATATTGGCGGCGCTAGTCACTTACCATCAGGTGAGCTGCATGCTCCTTTGTCCCCTGTGTTGTAAAAAAGATATAGAAGTATATATATACAGTATTTTTTTATATACCACCAAGGTGGCAAACAAGCATATAGCCCGTCTGATGGTAAACGGTCACTGTCGCCTATGGACACTTACAATACGAAGAGCATCACATGCGCGTTGCCAACCCTGAATAAATCTTAATATACCCTTTTTAAAGAACCCACTGCTCTAGTCCCTTGGGAAAACCTCGGTAAGGAGCTCATCCCACAGTCTAAGAAATATTAATTTCATGCATTAGTGTCTATTTATTCTGAATATTTAAACCTATTTATAGATGTGTATCCCTTATGTGGGAGGCTTATGTTCAGCATTGGACAGGTAACGGTTGATTTAATAATAATAGATTTTATACATATTTGTTATGAGAAAAAAGTTTTCTTTATTATAAAATCCGTGTAAATCCGGACTAGAAAGGACCACCCCTTCCTTTCCCGTGGGAGTCGTAAGAGACGACTAAGGGAACTTAATGGTAGAAGGATGAGTAGCAGCGTCCCTTTTAAAATATCTAAAAGCCTAACTGCGGTTCTCAACCTGTCTGCCTAGCGTAGCAACTACTGGAAAAAATATCCTTATGGGGAAGGCTTATGTACAACAGTGGACAGTTAATGGCTGATATGATGATGATGATGATTATAAAATGGCATTGCAGATGCAGTTATTAAATAATAAAATATACAATTATTCTTTTTGAATAGGTAATTACAATTGCTCCGTAGACGTACTACGCTGTTCGTAGCCGCAGTCGTTCGTAGCACAGCGTAGAGCCGTCTGCAACCGATTCTAATTATAACTAACATTGACACACTTCTGAAATAGCTTTTAATGGAAACCATCAAAATTTTATCATGCTTAGGTACTTACATGCATTGACCGTGTATGTATGTATGTATATATCGGATTTTGAAGCTTAATATAATACAAACATTTGACCTCACACTAGATGGCGCAACGACCTCGAATGCATTACATAAAGTCACTGGGTGCAGGTGGCTCGAGATTATTCTTTATGGAAGTTTATGGGAGAGGCCTATTTTCAGCAGGGGACAGCTAATGGTCGATATGGTGATGGTGAGAATTATATAGCCATACCATTTCTAAGATTAACCCAATCACTTAATTAGAAATACAAACGATTGAAATTGTAAATAATATGGATAGTATCAACTGCTCGTTATAGTTACTATATTATATGTACTTATATGATGGTTGGAGGTATTGGTTATTCGCTTTAATATTTCTGCCTTGTATTACATGATAAAGAGGGCGTCAATTAAAAATTTTGTATACCCATAGACGAGAAATTTATAATCCCTCCTAAATTAAATTTAATTGTAAATTATAGTTGTATGATTATGAGTATTATTGTCATATGGACACAATATTAAGTAAATATTATACATATTGAAATTAAGTAGGTAAGTAATATTTTAAAACTTTAATAATATTATTTACTAACTCGCTCATCCAGTGTAGTGACTTATGAGCATAAGCTCTCCAATGAAAGGACCAATAATGTGTGCCCCTAGTACGAAGAGTGAAAGACCACACATATTGGATACACATCGGGGACGGCCTGTATCTATCAGTGGATAAATACAGTCTGAAATAATGAACAATGAATAATATGATTATATTTTATGTTTATTCAAAATAGTAGAAATAGGGTCATGATAATCACAGTATTAGTAACAGACACCTGAAGTTGTATGACGCGGTTTCAGACTCGCCAGTCTGTCTCGCAGGTAACAAGTCAACAAAACTGAATATTGATAATAAAAATTAACAATGTTTACTTTTTTTATTACATTTTTAAATAGTATACTATTTGTACTTACGAATATAGTCACATAATAAAATTAGATGCTCAAGTGTTATTACTAAATACAGTAGTAGTTCAGGTAGATAATTTATTACTAATATTGATTTACATACATAGATAACAAAATTAGCATGTGTATCATTGATATGCAACCAAATGTTTTATATTTGTAATGAATACAGTATTACGTTTTTTATTAGCATGATCCTTAAATTGTTTTCATCATACAACTTGTTTAAACATTATTAAAAAAATATCAAACTACCCTTTTGAAATGACTTTACGAGTATTTATTAGTGTCAGTATTAGAGTGTCCAAATTTAAAAGTGTCATTAAGTAGGATATTTCTTAAAAGGAACGTTATTCACCAGGAATACTGCTATTCTTTTTTAAAATTCAATATTCCTTAATACTGTAATTAAATAAATGAGCACGACGGACACTACTTAAGTAGAACAGTATTTCCTGGTACTATGCATAGTTTAGACCTTCTTCGAAGACAGAAACCGAAGTCCACAATCGATAGATAGCGTGTGTTGTGGTGCGTGGGCGGTGTGGTGCCGGTGCACGCGGCTGCAGGTCGGAGGCAGAAGCCTCAAAGGCGCGGTGCGGCCGTGTCGGCGCGGTGCGGGTGTGCGCGCGCAGCGGCGGCGGAGGCGGAGGCGGGCGCGGGCGGTGCGCGGGTCAGTGGCGTGCAGCGCGCGCCGCGGACGCCCGCACCGCAGTGTCGAGCAGGAGCCCGCCATGCCCGGCCCGCGCCTCTCCCGCGCCGCCTGACAGCATGGCCCACCCGACCGCCACCATCACACGCAGCCACGCTCTGACGACGGTACGCATCCCAGTGAACGCTTATCGCCAGCCCCGACGGCTGCCCGTGTCGCCTTTCCGCGACCTCCGGCTGTACACTCGCCGAAAGTTCTTCCCGACCAGTGCCAGTGTTTCTTTTACCTGTTTAGCCAGTGAGGGTCGCTCAGCGCAGAGGTTTCGTCTCGATTCGATCGTCCGCATACCGAAAGGAGTAGGCGCGAGTGGTCGCCACCCGCCCCGCTAGATGGCGCCGAGAGTCGCTCCTGCGGCGAGCGCTCTCCGCCCGCACCCCGCCGTCGCCGCCTTTTGTTTCGCGCCGTTCGTGTACATAAAATAATAATTGGCAGGCCGGTGGTGAGCAACGTTGCTCGGCGCCGAGCCGTCGCTGACGTCAGCGGAGCCCGGGCTCGCGCCCGAGCCGTGATCCCGGCTTCCCCGACCTTCCGCCAGCGCTGTCTGCGGCTCGTTCGACACACACACCACTGACACGTCAGGCCCTACACTAACCCTCCGCCCCTCTTACGTGCCAAACTCATTCCAAATACTAAATGTTAACGATTAATTAACTGTATATTTAGTACGAATTGTTTATTTAACGGTTGACAATTTATAACAATATCGGTGGCAGCCGTGATGCAATGACCCGTTGAAAATGTGTAGGTTTCATTCATGTAACCTACAAGGGTTAGCGATTGATCTGCACCTAGCAACAGAACGGACAGTGGCGGCGGGGGCGACCATCTTTTTCAAATCTTTAGCTGAAAATAAGGTGGATATGTTGAGAATCGAGTCAGTAATGGTGGATTCGTTTAGTTAAAGGAGTGCGCTGTGTGTCGCGCCGCGCCCATGTCTCTAAGTCTGGTGAGTGGTAGATTGTAAGGCTTCGAAGCGTGCCATTTTCACAAGAACTACTGTGTAGGTGTTTTTATAGCCCTAAGCCAATAACTTTCACGTTTTAAAACCGAAGTCAAAGTATCATTACTTGCGTTACATTGACATTTATGTAAGCATACCTATTTCTTACAGTAACATAAAGTTGTACTAAAATTTTTGATATAATATATTCAAATGGAAGATAAGTTTTGAAACATAAGAAGAAATTATTTTATTTGCATCTAAATCAACACGATACACGTTTTGTTTTTATTGTTTTGGTTAGAGATAATTGCACGATAATAAGATCTCTGCTTAAATTAATATTATGTTAGTGATACCATGAAAAGAGAACATAGCTATTTTATTATAATACCATTGATATATACATATTCTTTGTACATAATTTTCCCGGTTGAGCGTATTGAAAGATTGTAAAGCTCATCCAGTAGATGTAACGTATAAAATAATCATGCAATAATTATTAATTCTCTAATAAATATATAAATAAGTTTAAAAAAAAATGTTTCCGAGTTATAAAAATGACCTAATGAATTTTTAAATGATACTGAAATCTAATAACTTCATCGTAAAGCAACACGATGAAGTGGTTAGATTTTAGTTTACTTTCAAAATTTCATATAATCTGTTTTAAAATAATCATATTACGTAAAAAAGGCAGTCATATAAAAATGCCTTTTTTTTTCAACTTTATACAAAATTAGTAATTAGAGTCATCATTGTGCAGGTAGATAGAATTTTATAAAAAATACTTAGTCTATGTTACTCATTGATAAATAAATTTGCATGCCTAATTATGGCGAAATATGAGGACTTATACTTATTGTAACATCTATACACTTACCATGTTTCATGTAAATAAATAAATAAATAAAAATAAATAAATAAATAAATAATAGCCTAGCTTTTACACGTGAAATAATGTTTTGAAATCGGTTGAGTAGTTTTTGAGTTTATCCATTACTAGCGACCCGTCCCAGCTTCGCATGGGTTTTACATTTAAAAAGTGGTTATTGTGACAAAACGATAATAGATGGACATCTAGTGCCGCAAAGTTTTCTGTAGTTATTAATATTTTCTTCAATATTGTAGAACATAATTTTGTTCCATCACCGGCAGCGCACGCGACGAAAGATATTTTATAGCATTTTTTAACACCTTGAGTTACGTTACTAAAGTTTTAGTAAGGATTCCTAATCTTTTCTAGCAATAAATATAGCCCGTGTTACTCAGGGTGAATGTAACTTTCTAATGGTAAAAGAATTTTTGAAATCAGCAAAGTAGTTTTTGAGTTTATTCATTACAAACATACATATACACAAAAATACAAATCTTTCCTCTTTATAATATTAGTATAGATATGAGACCTAAAACAAAAGATACTATATCATGTTAGCGCGTTCGTACCAGAAGGAGACTTTGTACAAAAGTCGTTTGTTTGGGTACCTCTGTCCCAATCGTGTTTCTGTCGTGAAACAGTTGTATTTGCATAGCTGTGTTTCGGTTTGAAAGGTGAGATATGGCAGTGAATTTACAGGGTACAAAGGAATAACACCTGAGTCCTCAGGAATGGCAACGCATGGGAATATTATGGGCGAAATAGTATATTCTGTTATGTCCATGATACTGCTCATGTCTATAGGTGACGGTTTCCACTTTCCATCAGCTTCTTTGCCATTCTAAGTTGCATAAAAAATCAGAAGTATGACTAAAATACTTCTACTTTAAGAATGTACCTTTAATAATATCTCTCTCGATTTTGTAAAATGCTATTTGTTAACTAATTTTTCCTTCTATTTCCTTTACCTAACTAATATTGAATGGGAGTGAAGGGATTGTCAGTAATGGGGATGTTAGTCCCCATTGTTAGCAATGTACCTTGTTAGGTCGACCTCCACGTTATTTTCCCCTGGATACCATTATAGTTCATGGTTGGTGAAATAGTTACAATGGGACGGCTTATCATCTGTCTCTAATGTAAAAATCTGTCTCTCTCTGTAAAAAACTAATGTTGAATATCTAATGGCGTAAACTTAAAAGGACTAAGTCAACAATAGTGATCGAAGTCTTAATTTACTATTCATGTTATATATGATTATAACTAAAATATTAAATTCCTGTTCATTTATACTACGATTACAAACAATAAAAAAAGTTAAAGATATTTGTAACTTATTAATAATACATAATATTTGAAGCGATTCTTAAAAATATCTTTTTGTGGTTCCGAAATAATGTATTTTTATAATTTACTTATGTAGATCTAAATTAACAAATTACTACATTAAAGAATATTTATTTAATTTTTATAATTATATTTTATATTATAATTATATTATTTATTATGTAATTGCAATTTTAGTTACACCTCAATTTAAATTACCCTAAAAATATAAATAAAAATGGTCAAGCATTTTGTAGTACATTATTTTGCCTATTCAGCATGCCATAACGGGCTCTGACCAGTTTGGAATTAGGACAAGATGCAACCTTTAAAATTGGGTCAGCTAACTAAATACTATATTGTCTTTATGTTAGGAAATAAACTGATAGTTATCTATAATACATGTAATGTATATATATCAGATGTTATGAGGTATATATACATACATGTATATTTATATACATATATATTTATGTAAAAAGTAATTAGTACAACTTATTAAATGAGCATGAACATTGAAGTATCTAACCTATTTCCATTGAAATTTTAATAATTGCCACTCAATCGCATCAATTGCATGATTTTTAAGCTACTTTACATAGTATAAACCAGGCAACCAAAATCTGGAATTACAATCCACAAAACGACCTGATACTGCATGTGAAGCCTGTTATTATTAGCATTGTCTTGCCTTTTAAATTAGGTTACACCATCTTGTCTCTACAAGATTTTCATCTAACTGAATTGTTAAAGTAGCCAAAAAGTTTTTCCAAACAGAGGATATTGCATTTTAAATTTTATTACCTGTCTTTTACTAATACAATGTAAAGATGTTGTTCTCATGAAAGTGTGTTCCTACAATCTTTAGTTTTAATCTTGGTCTCTCCATACAATATCCATGTAGGTACTATATCATAGCACATGCACTGTATCTTTGCAGTCAGTATAGAGATCACCAATGTAAAATGCGACATCTTTGTTTATTTCATATTTTTCAAAAAAAAAAATGATAACTATAGCTTTCTAGCTTTACATCGTAGTTCGTAAGTCTATTGCCTTATTATTTATCAATTTACAGAGATAAACAAAGTCATTTGCGTTTCGAAGCACTCTAGCAATATGAAAAAGTTGAAAAATTTATAACACCGCGTTCGCTTTATCAACTACCATGACTTTGGAATAGTTTTGTTTGATTTTATATAAGCTCCATCTAAAATCAAACAGAATTATCACTCAAAACAAATCACTCAATAAGCACACTCAATTTCTTTAAAAGAAATTCTTTGCACAATTTACTTCTTTTCGCCATTCTCCTACAGTGGAAATTCCGACTTAACCTTCATATGATCTCCTCGGAATGTATTTTAACATATTAACATTTTATAATAGTAGCAGTCTAGACCAAATGTAAATAGGTATGCCTTCATCAAATGATTTAGGTTCTGACTTCTAGTTTTAAAATTTGAAGAAGGCCGAATATTGAAAAAGATTGATATATTAATACATATCAGTCTTTAACATTATATTAATTAATGTAACAATCTACAGTACTGTATAAACGTTTTGGCGACTAGGGAAGCATAATGCCAGTGACTCTCGACAATTTCAATGAGTTGGCGAACGTTCAAATTCTCATGTTTCTTGACCGCTCACAAAACTAGCTTGCTTCTTTGATATTTGGATATCTACAAATCATAATATTCTTACGTTTAGATATTTCATTAGTATCCAGAAACAAGGTTCTCTCAATCTGAAGTTTTCTAATAATTATATCCAAATTTTTTAAACGTTCTAATAACTAATTTATTTAAAAAAACATCGAACAATATTCATACCTTTATAATCTTCAACTATGTTGTGTATAAATTTAGTCAGATAATAACGCGGTAGGCATATCTTTATCTTGCAGTAGTTTTTTCTTTCTATTTATACATTATTTAGTATTTGGTAGCACTATAGTAGAT